CACCCCGCTCACATCACTGGATAGATCCTCTAGACAAAAAATTAGCAAGGAAACAGAGACTCTAAATGAAGCACTAGACCAAATGGATTTAATAGATATCTACAGAGAACTACACCCCAAAACTACAGAATTCACATTCTTCTCAAGTGCACATGGAAGATAGACCACATGTTAGGGCACAAACTAAGTCTCTACAAGTTCAAGAAGATTGAAATTATAACAAGCATCTTCTCAGACCACAATGGTATGAAACTAGAAATCACTTGCAAGAAGAACATACAAAGACATTTTAACACATGGAAGCTAAATAGAATGTTATTAAACAATGAATGGGTCACCGAGGAAATCAAGGAAGAAATCAAAAACTTCCTGGAAACCAATGAAAATGAACACACAACAATACAAAATCTATGGGATGCAGCAAAAGCAGTTCTGAGAGGGAAGTTTATAGCACTATAGGCCTACCTCAAAAAAGAAGAAAAATCTCTAATAGACTACCTAACCTCACAACTTAAAGAACTAGAGAGTAAACAAAAAGAAAACCCCAGAGCAAGTAGAAGAAAGGAAATAGTAAGGATCAGAGCAGAAATAAACGACATAGAGACCAAAAAAACAATCCAGAGGATCAATAAAACAAAGAGCTGGTTTTTCGAAAAGATAAACAAGATTGATGGACCCTTAGCTAGACTCACCAAGAAACAAAGAGAGAGAACCCAAATACATAAAATCAGAAATGAAACAGGAGAGATAACAACGGACACCACAGAAATACAAAAGATCGTTAACAACTACTATGAAAAATTATACGGCAACAAATTCGAAAATCTAAGCGAAATGGACAAATTTCTAGAAACACATAGTCTCCCAAAACTGGATCAGATAGAGATTGAAAACTTGAACAGAACAATAACAACAGAAGAAATTGAAGATGTAATCAAGACTCTTCCAGCAAACAAAAGCCCAGGCCCGGATGGCTTCACAGGGGAGTTTTACCGAACATTCAAAGAAGAACTAATACACATTCTCCTCAAACTATTTCAAAAAATTCAAGAAGAAGGAAGACTTCCAAACTTGTTTTATGAAGCCAGCATAACTCTAATTCCAAAACCAGAAAAAGACACAACAAAGAAAGAAAACTACAGGCCAATATCCCTGATGAACATAGATGCCAAAATCCTGAACAAAATACTAGCAAATCGAATCCAGCAATACATCAGAAAAATTATCCACCATGACCAGGTGGGATTCATCCCAGGGATGCAAGGCTGGTACAATATTCGCAAATCCATAAATGTGATACACCACATAAATAAATTGAAGAATAAAAACCACATGATCATATCAATAGATGCTGAAAAAGCCTTTGACAAAATCCAGCATCCATTTCTGATAAAAACGCTCAGCAGTGTGGGAATAGAGGGATCATATCTAGATATAATAAAAGCCATATATGAAAGACCTACAGCCAACATCATACTCAATGGGCAAAAACTAAAAGCATTTCCCTTAAGAACAGGAACAAGGCAAGGATGCCCACTTTCGCCACTCCTATTTAACATAGTACTGGAAGTCTTAGACACAGCAATCAGACAGGAAGAAAAAATAAAAGGGATCCAAATTGGAAAGGAGGAAGTAAAATTTTCATTATTTGCAGATGACATGATACTGTACATAGAAAACCCCAAAGACTCCACCAAAAGCTTACTAGACTTAATAAATGAATTTGGCAAAGTAGCAGGATACAAAATTAACGTCAAGAAATCGATGGCATTCTTATACACCAATGATGAACTCACAGAAAGAGAAACTAAGCAAACAATCCCATTTACCACTGCGGCAAAAAAATTAAGATACCTAGGAATAAACTTAACCAAAGAGATAAAGGACCTATTCGCAGAAAACTACAGGTCTTTGAAAAAAGAAATAGAGCAAGATGTAAAAAAATGGAAGAACATACCCTGTTCATGGATTGGGAGAATTAACATCATTAAAATGTCCATATTACCCAAAGCAATCTATAGATTCAACGCAATCCCCATCAAAATGCCAACGGCATACTTCAAAGAATTAGAACAATTACTTCAAAAGTTCATATGGAACCAAAAAAGGCCTCGAATAGCCACAGCAATCTTGAAAAGGAAGAACAAAGTTGGAGGGATCACAATACCAGATTTCAGGTTATACTACAAAGCCACCATAATCAAAACAGCCTGGTACTGGCACAAGAACAGGTATATAGACCCGTGGAACAGAATAGAGAACCCAGAAATGGACCCTAGGCAATATGCTCAATTAATATTTGACAAAGGTGGCAAGAGCATACAGTGGAGTAAGGACAGCCTCTTTAATAAATGGTGCTGGGAAAATTGGACAGCTACTTGCCAAAAAATGAAACTAGACCATCAACTTACACCAAACACAAAAATAAACTCAAAATGGATAAAAGACTTAAATGTAACTCATGAATCCATAAAAATCCTAGAGGAGACTGTGGGCAACAAAATCTCAGACATCATACGCAGCAGAATTTTTACTGACACATCACCTAAGGCAATAGAAACAAAGGAGAAAATGAACACATGGGACTACATCAAACTCAAAAGCTTCTGCACAGCGAAAGATACAATCATCAAAACGGAAAGGCTACCCACTGTATGGGAGAGCATAATTGCCAATGATATATCAGATAAGGGGTTAATTTCCAATACATATAGAGTGCTCATACAACTCCACAAAAGGAAGACAAAGAATCCAATTAAAAAATGGGCAGAGGAACTGAATAGACACCTCTCCAAACAGGACATACAAATGGCTGAGAGACATATGAAGAAATGTTCATCATCACTAATCATCAGAGAGATGCAAATCAAAACAACAATGAGGTATCACCTCACACCTGTCAGAATGGCCGCCATCAACAAATCATCAAACAACAAGTGTTTGCGAGGGTGTGGAGAAAAGGGGACTCTAGTACACTGTTGGTGGGAATGCAGACTGGTGCAACCACTATGGAAAACAATATGGTGTCACCTCAAAAAATTAAAAATTGATCTCCCATTTGACCCAGTGATCCCACTTCTAGGAATATATCCTACGAAGCAGAAAACACCAATCAGAAAGAATATATGTACCCCCATCTTTGTAGCAACACTATTTACAATCGCTAAGATCTGGAAACAGCCCAAGTGCCCATCAGTAGACGAATGGATTAAAAAGCTGTGGTACATATACACAATGGAGTACTACGCAGCGGTAAGAAAGAAAGATCTCTTATCCTTTGAGACTACATGGAGGGACCTGGAAAGTATCATCCTAAGTGAAACAAGCCAAACAGAGAAAGACAAATTTCATATGATCTCACTGATTTGTGGAATATAATGAACATAACAGTTTGAGGACAATCCCCTAAGGAGTGGGGAGGTGAGAGAGGGATGAACCACAGAACTTATATGCATGTATGCATGAACAGTGGACATGGACAACAATCTGGGGAAGGGGCAGGGAGGGAAGGGGGAGGGGGGAATCAGTGGGGGAAAAAAGGAGAATCATTTGTAACAAAAATTAATCAATAAAAAAATAAAAATAAAAATAAAATAAAATAAAATAAAATAAATGAACACATTCACCTCATAAAAAAACAAAAACAAAAAAAAAACAATGTAAGCCAGGATAGTACAGTAGTTAAATAACCAAACATAAAAGTTACTGAAATATTTTCATAACCCCAAACAAACTTTATATACTATATAATACATTTTCTAAAATGGGGATTATATTACTTAAGAAACAGTATCTATGGAACCTACAAAGCAATGAGAAATACAACCATATTTAGAAACATATTAGTTTCTAAATCAATTAGTGTCATTTGACACATTTTACTCCAGATAGAAACAAAGACATCTTTCTACAATTAGGGCTGTAAGCTTTACAGCTGGAAGAAGGGAAAGAGAGCCGAGAAAGGTATGGTACTTTAGGATGGGCAGTAGCAGGGTCACAGAAGAGCATAAAAGATAGAGCTGATGATCTGAGGTGGGGGTCTCAGCCCAGCCACAGACAAGATGTATGATCTTAAATAAGTTACTTAACATCTCCAGGTGCCTGGCTTTTTATTCTATATAATGGGAATAATATACTCTACAACTGCTATATTAAATAACATACTGCTGTGTTAAATAACATAAGGTATCTGAAACCATGTTCTAAATTATAAATATATAATTACTATAATTATTATTATAGTTATACGATTATCTTAGATCTTCCTACACTTTATTTTCAAATATCTGTCAAACCACTTTGCTCTTTAACAATGTAATTGTGTTAGGAAGAGTTCTTTCAATATATTGAGAGGCTACCTTAAGTCTACTTTCTGTTTATGCTGACGAGCTGTATGGGTACGAATATGGTTGCCCTAACTTCCCAACTCACAAATAGTATAACTTTCTAATTTAATTATTATTTTTTAAATAGCAAAATATCCATATTAGCTTCTGTACCTCAAGGATTGAAATCCTGTTTTTATAAACTTTCTGATATTGTATACAAATTCTTATATACAGTGAAACCATACTGTTAACTAGGAATAGCAAGGAACTTATAATTATTAGGTAGCTCCCATGTGTCAGGCTCATGCTAGAACATTGCAGAGCTATTTTTATTACAACTAACCCTAAAATCCCTGTAAAAAGTGATGCTTATTTTCATTTTAGAGATGAGGAAGACTGAAGAATGTCATATAACATAGCACACATCTAGTAGAGGGAACATCAGGGTTCCATCCCAGCTTGTCTGATTCCAGACACAGGCTGTCTCTTTATGACACCAAAAGACATGAATTTCCTGTTAAATTACATCAATTAACTAAAAACCATGATAAATACTGCATTTGCAGACAAAAATATATCATTTTTTTGTGAAAATACTCATGACAAATAAAAGTAATTATGTTATATATATTATATACATATATCTTTTCATTTAATAAGTAGATTTATCACCTGATTCTGATGATGGCTGGTCTGTCTCATCTTCATTCTCCAACGGCTGTGTTAATGCTTCAGTATAATTTTCTACTGTTCCAAGCTCACTGTTTTTTTGGCTGCTGTCACTGATCCGGCTCCGCTCATGCTCCATTCTGTGCGTCAGGGGGCAGGCATCACAGTCATTCTCCATATTTTGCCTCTTTTTCTCTTTTTCAAGTTTTTTTTCATTCTAACAAAAATGAAAAATATCATCTTAAATATTACAGTTGTTTCTAAGATAGTTTTAAGGGAAAAATCAAACAACCCAAGAGCATTCTGTAACTTCAGAGAACTGTAATATTTCTATTAAAAATTATTTATTGACTACATTAAAACATGCTAATTGCCAAACATTCAGAAAACAGATTGTATAAAGGAAGAAAACAACTATTACCAGTAATTCCACAATCTAGAGATAACCACTATTTGGTGTACAATCACTAAGAGATGTTTTTCTTTGCCTACCACACACGTACAGACATACACTACCCACAAACATACATAAATGTGTAGATTGCTTCTCTCTATATACATATTTATGTATTTGTTTTTTAAACAAAAAAGAACTGAAGTTTTTATTTAAGAATACATACTTCTTTCCTTAGAACAGTGCCTGACACCTCGTCAAGTGTCAGCTATATAAGAGTCATATAGGTGTTAGCTATGATTACTGTCACCAAATACATTATCATTTTGAATGGTTATATCACAACTTATTTTACCAATTCCCAATCAATGAACAGAAACGTTACTTGCAAATGTTCACTATTAAAAGAGACAGAACTATTGAATTAGATCATTAGAATAAATTCCTAACATTAGAACTGTTGGGAATTGGTAAGCACATTTTAAAATGTGACACACTACAAACTTCCCTTCAGAAAAACTAAAGTCAATTTACACCGCTTTTCAATGGTGTATATCATTATCAATCTTTTACATCTCCACCACACTAATAAATAAATGTTTTTACCTTAGTACTGATTTAACTTACTGATTTTACTACTGTTTAGTACTATGAAGATGAACTATTAAATACCATTATTGCCATTTTTCTTTTTCTTTAGGGAACTACCCATGGTAACCCAATATCCACTTTTCTATTTCATTCTCATAGTAATTTTTAAGGGTTCTTTTTTAGTCCTATGTCTCTCAGTATTTTTCATGAGGGTTTACTTATTGCCTTTAACTTTGTAGAACAGCTCTTAAACTGAATAAAATAAGATCTACTCATTTTCATTTCTTGACTTGTGGCTCGATTGTTCTGCTTAGAAAGTTTTTCCTCCTCCAGGTATGTTTAACTATACTATGTGCTAGTGTTTTTAAGGCTTCTTTTCTTTTTAATACATTTGAGTCTTTTGGGATTTAATTAGGCATATACAGTGTTTAATAATTTAACTTTTTTCAGAAGGATTGTTCAGTTTTCCCAATATCCTCTTCTTCCAGATTTGAAATTTCACCTTTATCTTATACAAAATGCTCAAACAGCCTAGCCGGTGTGGTTGAGCATCGACCCATGCACCAAGGGGTTGTCAGTTTGATTCCAGTCAGGGCACATGCCCAGGTTGTGGGCCCGATCCCCAGTTGGGGGGCATGCAGGAGGTGACCAATCAATGTTCTCTCTTATCGATGTCTCTCTCTCTCTCCCTTCCTCTCTCTCTAAAAATTTATATAAGAAAATAAAATTTTTAAAAATGCTCAGACATAATTAGGTTTATTCCATATTTATTAATGTTCCATTTATCTCTCTGTCTGTTCTGGAACCAATATATCACCATTTTTTACTATCTGTGGTAAACATCAAAGGAACGTAAGGTGCTTCTCCAAAACGCAAACATTTTAAAGGTCTAATTTTGTGGGGGGAAAAAAAGAAAATGTACTTGGTATAAAGGAGACTATAGATAATTGTTTTCATTCATTTCATTTCTTTACTGATCATCTTCTTAAAACTATTGTAGCTTAAAAGCATAAGTGCACTTTCCCAATGCCACGAATTAATTCCAGGATCTTCAATATAAGCTATTCTCTTTTGTACACCAGTATTGTTCACTTCTTTTTTCAGTGAAAAATACCATGTTGATAGAAGCACTAAGGCCCTTTCTAAGCAACCATGGTACCATAAAATTGGTCATTATTTACAAGGTGAGCTTTATTATACATATAATAATGTTTCGAAGTGAATGGTCAAACATGATTCCCCTCTTCTCCACCAATATTTTTTTTTTCTTTTTGTGGTATGTGCCCCTAGCAGGAACTGAACCTGGGACTCTCTGGTCCACAGGCCAATGTTCAACCGCTGAGCCAAACTGGCCAGGGCAACCAATATTTTTTTAAAAGCATAAAACAAAATTTGACAAAAATAATATTTAATAGGATGGAGACAAAATAATACCTTAAATTATTAAGACAGCTTTACTGTACTTAGAAAAGCACACATTTAATTGTGTTAAATGAAATGGGGTTAATAAAACAATCAAATACAATTAACTTTCTGGTACCTAAACAACGTAAGCACAAATATTTCATATTACCAATTATTTTGTAAAACAAAGCAATGCCAAAATGATCCAATCATCTTCTTACTTGCGGAGCTGCCTCCCTCCTCAGCAGCAGCCCCAAGGAAGAAACAACCATCCACCTTTCCAGAGGAGCACCTGTGCGGAAGGAGGCAGTGACGGGGGAAGAGGAATGGAGAACACACAGGCAGTGGGACCAGCAAACTAGCTGCTACACTAAGCTCTGGTGAACAGAGGAAGCTTGAAGCTCTGCCTCTGAGGAGGTGCAGCTGCTGGCTGCTGAGGGCGATTAAAGCAGAGCCAATGCAAACTCTGGACACCAGTAGGAAATGAAAGCAAAGACACAGACACACACACGCACATATACACTCACACACATACAACCCCTTAATTTCTTTGTGATTAAAATCTAAAAATTAATTTTGGTAAAACTTCTGACAATTAAAATTAAAATAAATCATATTTACATAGAGAAGTATTTATTATAGTTTCAAACAATCTTAAGTATCCTGGATAAACTATTAGAAATTCATTTATGTACTCTAGAGCATCATAAGCATCTAAATATTACTGTAAAGAGATTATAGTAAAAGCCATACACGGACAAAGAGACAACGTAAATAAGAGTAAATATATTACTACCATATGAAATAAATGACAAAAAAAATATGATTTATCAAGACAGTAGCTATTACAGTTGTTACATTCAATCTTCATTTTCATTCTTAGTTGATTCTGAAGTCATCTTTCCTGTTTATACTAGATCTGAAGGTACATTTGAAGAGGAAGAAAAAGCAGCAAACTTTTAACCTGTTGTCTCTCCCATTTAATTCTTTTATTTTTTTATTTTTTTTATTGATTAATTTTTGTTACAAATGATTCTCCTTTTCCCCCCAGTGATTCCCCCCTCCCCCTTCCCTCCCTGCCCCTTCCCCCGATTGTTGTCCATGTCCACTGTTCATGCATACATGCATATAGATTCTGTTGTTCATCCCTCTCTCAGCTCCCCACTCCTTAGGGGATTGTCCTCAAACTGTTATGTTCATTATATTCCAGAAATCAGTGAGATCATATGAAATTTGTCTTTCTCTGCTTGGCTTGTTTCACTTAGGATGATACTTTCCAGGTCCCTCCATGTAGTCTCAAAGGATAAGAGATCTTTCTTTCTTACCGCTGCGTAGTACTCCATTGTGTATATGTACCACAGCTTTTTAATCCATTCGTCTACTGATGGGCACTTGGGCTGTTTCCAGATCTTAGCGATTGTAAATAGTGCTGCTACAAAGATGGGGGTACATATATTCTTTCTGATTGATTCTTAATTCTTTTAGAAATAACCGTTCTCTGGTGAAACACTTCTTTCTGTCTCCTTGTCTCCTTTCTTAACTTCCAACTTTATAATGTAAGATATAAAAATTACATTAGCCACCATCCATACCTCAATGATAACAGTTGCTATCGGCTGGAAAGGATTAACAATAATTGGTTCTGGGTCCATCTCAGCCAGACCACTGGTTCCATCGAGTTCAGCCTGCTCTCGTTCTCTTTGTTCTCTATTGTTTGAGAGAAAAAATGGTAATTCCTGAGAAAATGCTGAACCATGTTTAAGAACACTTGCAATAGGGTTAGGGCTATTGAATTTAGTAATTTAAACATCTAGCTTTGAATTATTGAGAGATTTTCAGAACTCCTTATGCAGGTAACAAGCCTGTACCCACCCCCCCATGTAAAGATTATTCACTTGACTTTTTAAAAGAAATAAATGCTGACAAAAATAACATTCCCTATGTCTGATTTCTTAAATGTCAATAGTGCATGTTAATAATTCTATGTACTAAGTTATTATATTTGTCAATCTATTAATTACCATCCCAAACCAACACTGCCTCTTCATTGATGTTAACAGATAAATAAGTCCTCTTGTTAACCCTCTTCTCTTCTGAAGAGCTGTGTCAAATTACCTATCATATATGAACCAGATAATGACTGTTGCTTATCTTTATAGATGAGGCTATAAAGATAAGTTGCACTATATCACTTAGATTAAATAAATATTGTATTTCCATATTCGTTACTACCGAAACATTTACTCTCTCTGTGATTTATAGTTAATGTTGTCCCATACATGAAGGGTAATTAAGTTACAAACAAGTAACTGAAGATAGAAAGATGACTAGTGTAGATGCAACTGGGCTGCAAGTATAGTATAGCAATATGGAAAGGTCATTACTATGACATTTATTAATTATGTCCTCTGCTGGAAAGATCCTTCCATTCTGAACTGAGCAAGCCAAGATTTAAAGATCTGCAATTTACTACCTCAGTGATCCTGGACATGTATCTGGATCACTGAGTGATAGCTTTGCCATGTGGATAAAAAACCCTACCTCAGAGGGTTGTTTTAGCTAAAGTAATATATGTGAAAGTACTTTGTAAATGAACATACTTATAGGACAGTTATTGTTATTAAGGTTATTAATTTTTTAGCAAGCAATTTTAGGTATCTAGTATTAAAATACTATTTTCAGATATGAACAATAATTTTTTTACTGCTTTCAAATATATCTAAATCTATTAGACTGAATTTAATAAAGTAAAAAAGGTGGTTTTCTTTTTTTTAAATCACTTGTCTCTAAATGCCAATTTACTTTTAATTATGGAGACTCTGCTCAACAGGAAAGGCCTCAGACCACACGTGGCATGGCTAAGGAAAGGAAGAAAGGGGAATGGGTATTAGAAAAGCCTGCCAAAACATGGCCTGGAATATCTTCATGGAAAAGGTAAGAATTTGGAAAGAAAAGAACTAACATTAGGTTTCTTTTATCCAACTCAATTTTTTTGTTCTGTTTTTTTTTTTAATAGTTTATTGATTTTTAGAGAGAGAGGAAGGGAGAGAGAAGAGAGAGAGAGAGAGAGAAACGTCAATGTGAGATCATAACATTGACTGATTGCCTCCTGCACGCCCTTTACCAGGGATCGAGCCAGCAACCCGAACGTGTGCCCTGACCGGCAATCAAACCGGCAACCTTTCAGTGCATGGGACGATGCCCAATGAACTGAGCCACATGGGCCAGGGTTTTTGGTTTGGTTTCTTAATGGAAGAAAAGCAAAGGAGTCTGCAGAAAAGTATGGTCATATATTTTATTTTGTTTTTGTTTGTGTGTGTGTGTGAAGCCAGAATTATTTTCATTTTCATTTTCTTTTTGTTCTTTTATGTTTTCCATCATCATTTATCCCCTCTGTCCTCTTCCTCCTCCACCCCTTCCCCACTGGCCCCACAATCATCTCTCTATTTTCTTTTTTTGCTATAAAAGGTAGACCGACATGAATGATTGGTTGTACTGAGCTTTATATTATGAAAATATACAGTAGGATAGAAAACCAAAGATTCTCACAGGAACTAAAATCTCATATCAGTATCAAAAGAGACCTAGATGAATGACCTGCTCATATTTATTGAGCACTTGGGGATGGAGATACAAATATTTATTTCCTTTAAGTCCTACCTCTAAATTAAATGCAAGATACCTGTAATCAGAAGATTTCCTTGACAGTGTAAGAGAACACCTCACAAAGGCATCACCAATAGTAGCTTAGTGGGTTCATTCCACAGGCTGCAACAATGTCAAAGCCCAGGCAAGGCCACTAACACCCAGGTAGATGGAAGACAACTTTGGATCTTGCAGGAGCTCATTTAAATATCTTTTCATTTCTCCCCTTCCCTACCATGGAACTATCCAGTTGAGAAAAAAGAAAGAGAAATCTTGGAATAAAGCACTAAATTCGACTTTTAATCAAATCTGAGTACTTTTTTTGCGGCATTAAGATTATTAAGTGATTCTGTGGCAGAATTTGCATAATCATTTTTTTTTAAATTCAGAATTTGCTTAATTTAGTTTAAAAGTTTTCTTTCAGGAAATATATTTTTAAATAATTTGAAAATATTCTTAAAAATCTGAAACAGTGAAATCTAGTTTACTTTCTGCCAAAACTAGTGTTACCGGTCAAATTTTGCTTCACTATTTGATTGATCCACTATCAGCTTACCTTCTGTCTCTGCCAAGACTAAGGGTTTTCCAATCTGTTGATGTGAACTCAGGAATTCTTTGTTGAGGGGACTGTGCAGCACAGGACGGTGAGCAGCTTCCTGCCTCTACTCACTAGACGCCAGTAGCACCCCTCCCCCAGCTGGGTGTGACAAATAAAAATCTCTAGCCTAGACACTGACAAATGCCCTCCGAGAAGCAAAACCACTTATTGCGTGAAAACCACTGCAGCAAAGGCACCCACAGAAATAAGAGATAAAAAATTTAAACCTCTCAGAAATAATAAATACACATGGAATAAATTTAACTCCATAACACCACCAGGAAAAGTAGAATCCTATCTCCCAAACTTGTGTAGAGAAAGATCCTTCATAATAGAAAATTTACCTAGTGTCTTCCTTCGGACAGAAAAAAGGAAACTGAATAGAAAAATCTCAGAAATTATCCGTAAAATTATGGTGTGTTTTATCTTTGACGTTTCAAATGCACTGTGGTACAAAGCGAATCTACTTACCTTTCCTCTCGTAACTTTCTCACTCGTTCAGCCCTTTCTCGTTTCTCTTGTTCCTCAAGAGCACGTTGTTCTATTGTGTCTTTCTGAATGCGTTCATTTAAGGCCTCAAAGTCTCTTGCAATGATATGTAGCAGCCAATAAAGACCTTTTTTAATGGACTTGTCAATCTTCTTTCCAGATCCCAAGATTGCTGAACAAGGTTCCTGATAAAACAGCAATTAATCTGACTTAAAGATTAAAACAAAAAGTTCTCCACAAAAATCTATTCATAAATCATCAAGTGTAATTACTGGTAAATCAAAATTAACCCATTAAATTAATGATATAAAGCACCTGCTTATTTAACTCAACAAACACCATTGCAATGACTACGAAGATTAGTACGCAGGAGCTGAGATATTGTAAGTGTTACAGCGGGAAGCTATGAGAGATGTTATGATGCAGGAAGTTGCCAGTGCCAGTTCAAGCTTCCAACAAACTCACTGGAAGACAAAACTAAGCTTCCAGTCCTTGCACCAGAGAATGTATAGATTACATCTTTCAAGGTGGACAGTCTAATGTCCATCTTCTGAAACCATAATAAATAAATCCTCTGTTCATCTTTCTTAAGATTATATAACTCTCCTGATATGACTTCTCAAAACTCATTGCAAACCTGTCCTATGTTTAAATTTTGTATTTATGTTTTCTTTACCATTTACAAAATGTATAGTGAAACATTGTTTGTATAGCTTACAAGTCCTGCAAGCAATATCCTGATCAAAAAGCAAATCTGAAGTCTTTGAAACTCAAAAGACAGTTTATGGAAGTAGTAACAACTGAATAGAAAAGAAATATTACCATATTAAGTAATATCAACAGAACAGTGAGAATGTGATTTTCTGGGTAAAAAAAAAAATATTTTAAGACACAAATAAATTATTTTATTAGCTGTCTGCCACCTAATTGCCTATCACCTTTACAAACACTGAGTTATGCTGCACATATTCCATAGGGCAAAGCAAAGCAAACCCCAAACTTACTATCTGACACAGGCACTTGTGCTCGTTGACCATTTTTTCCAGCGACAGACATTCAATCACATCAGCTTCCCCTAAAGCCCCTTCCTTGTCTTGTTTATTTGCCAACCTAGAGAGATATAAATAAAGTGATATTCTAGCAAATATGTAATCAGGAAGCCCCTTAAAAGTATTTTCACCATGGTCTCATCCCTAAGTTTTAAACCCACTGACTACAGAACATACTGGTTTAAGAGAGAACTGTAGTATCTATTTCATCATTTTTCCTTTATTTTATTGCTAAAATAAGTTTGTAAGAATTAGACTAAGAAAGAGAAATCAGTTAAAGTGTCAATAAAACAAGCAATAGGTCAATAAACCAACAAGAAAAGTTACAAATAGAAAAAGAATTGGACTAGTTTCCACAGCCCTAAGCCATCAATCCTAATTTTCACATTAATTATGTCTTTATCTTCTTAAAATACATTATATCATTATGTAAATGATGTTATCTCATGTCCTTAACTTCTTAAAATACAAAATGTTCATGTTTTAAATACCCAAACATTCATTCTGACCGTGTAATATTTGAGCTCATCTGCATTTCCAGTGTGTGAATGTGTCCACATAAATGTGTGATTTACTGCAGAGGTAGGGCCACTTCTATGTCATTTACTTTACAAAACACTGTGCATAAAGAACATTATATTCAACTAGGAACAATCAAGAAACAACTAAATGAAAAACCAAAACAAGTTCTAAAAAAGAAATTATCATGAAATACCACAATCTGCTATCAGATGGTAGAGATCAAAAAGTTTAATAAAGTGTTGTTTGACAGATATTTCAGGCGAATATATATTATTTAATTATATAAAGTAATAAATCAAATGAACCCTTACCACCTATCTTTAATAATTATGCACAGGGCACTGGTACTTAGGAAGCATCTAGTTGTACCACATTTAGTGATGTTAAAATGGATCAGTGGATTCAGCGAGAGTCAGCCTGATTCAGCCAAAATACTTTCACCTAATGAGTTTAGCATCCACTGATGACCTTTGCTAAATTCCATTTTATAAGAGCATATAAAATCATGATTTTTCTAGCTCTATATTCCTTCATTTACTAGCTGACTATTTGCTAAAAAGCAAGCTTTCATAAACTACTTGCTTACTCTTACTTAAATTCAGAGAAAAGTCAAGATACAATTTGATTCTTTGCCTTCATTTCCTAATCTTCATATTAATAAACTGCTGCTCTATCAATCTACAAAGGTGATCAAGTTGTTTTCTTTGGTTTGTGGGGCATATCATTATAAAATAATGGATTTTAAAAATATACTTGACGTACTTTAAAATATTGTAGTTACTTTTCTTTTTGAGGCTCTATGTTACCCATTTTGGGCCAGTGGGAGTCCCCCCTGTGTTGGTTCCTGTGTTCTTTGGTACAGCTCCCATAGTCTTTGATATCTTCTTGCTTTTTTGTAAGAAACAATATTACAGACCTAGAATCATCCATTTCCTTAAGGAGCCCTTTCAGTAAGGACTGGTATTTTAAGGACCACAAGCTGGGTGCTATGATCATTTATTGCTATTGACTTGCCAATATTTCCTAAACCCTTACAGTGGACAAAGCTAAGGAGAAAAAAAAATGTAGTTAAGAAAGAAAAAATGTAAATCATGATATCAAATCATATTTGATTTTTCCATTTTAAATCAAATATTACCAAGTTTTGCTCAGCTTCTTAAATTTTATCACATTTTTCTTATGCTGAAAACTACAATTCCTAATAACACTGTTAATTTATCCTACTATATATAAGTAAAAGTTTCAACACAATAATATCAATATTATTGCTAAAAATAAGATTAATAATAGCAGGTTAAAATCTCTTTGTGGTTATTCTTCTCTTTAAAATATATCCCACAAGAAATGCATAGTCAAAATACTGGGTTTTAAAATACCTGAAATAATCATTCTCTGCATAGTTAGGTCATCACCTAGACATATAGCTAGGTTCTCGTGTTTCAGGCAGCTTTTGCTTTCCAGTTTATTTTTTTAATTTTTTGGTACATGCCCCTAGCAGGAACCAAACCCGGGACTCTCTGGTCGGCAGCTCCAACCACGGAGCCAAACTGGCCTGGGCTATTTTTTTTAATTTTAAGATTTAATTTTCAGAGGATTCCAAAATGGTGGCAGAGTGAATGGAAGCTACACAAACCGTCTCCCAGGACCAGACTGGAATTACAACTAAAATAAAGACAAATGGACAGGAAAAAGCAACAGAAAAGCAGCTTGCCAGGATCATATAACCAGGGACACTGACTTGATCCTGGTAGGATTGCGGAGGCGCAAGAGGGGGGGCTCGGAACCCACAGACAGCAGCAGCCTTAGCTGTTAGAAGTGCTCTTGGGGTAAAATGCCCAAGCGGCTCCACAGCACAGAGCCGGGACAGATGCTAAAAGAGCCACAGCCACTCACTTTGGGCTCTGGCAGAGGAAGGGCAGACTGGACGGGAACTGTGTGGGGACACTTGGGATTTGGAGGGCACTCAGAGCTTTTGCTGATTTGCGGCCACGCAGGACGGTGGCCTATTGCTCCTTCCCAGGGCCCTGGGGACAGGTGGAGGCCCCTCCCTCAGAGATACAACCCGACTCAGTGGGTCACTGAAATGCAAATTGAGGCTCACTAACAACCAGCATCTGCCCCACCCTCAGGAAATCTCCTTACTCTGAGCACCTGAGGGAGTTTTTCATTCAACTGAAAACACAAGGCTCTTCAACTAACCACTACTGATAGCATCCAGGCAAAAAGCTAGAGGATAACTGTACCATTCCTGGGCTAGCAACTCTAACCAGGAAAGTAAGACTTGACAGTGGTGTTTAACGTGGGTCCTCCCTTGCTCATCCAAACCCAGGAGAGGAAGCCATGAACAGCAAAACATCAACACCCACAGGGAAAATTTGGCAGACTCCAAAGCCCATGCTTATAGCCAAAATGGTGAAACACAGAAAAACAAAAACAAAAAACAAATGAAAGAACAAGAGACCACTACCAAAAATGAAATAAATATGGAGCAGTTTAGCAAGTTAACAGAGATAGAATTCAAAGCTATGATCTGGAGGAAGCTCAACACCATGAGTAAACACATAGAAATGTTGAAAATCAACCAAATGGAAATTAAAAACCACCAAGAAGAAATCAAGAATGACATATCAGAAAGAAAGAACACATAGGAAGGTCTAAAAAGCAGAGTAGAGGAAGCAGAGGACTGGATCAGTGAATTAGAAGACAGTGTACAAAAAAATCAACCACTCAAAAAACCAAAAGGAAAAAACAATGAAAAAACAGAAAGGCAGCTTAAGAGAACAGTGGGACAAATGGAAAGGTAATAATATTTGCATCATACGAGTCCCTGAAGAAGAAGAAAATGAGCAGAATATATTCGAAGAAATAGTGACAGAACACTTCCCTAATTTGGTGAGAAAAGAAGGCATTTAAGTTTAAGAAGCACAGAGAGCCTCAAGTAAGAAGAACCCAAACAGGCCCACAAAAAGACACATAGCAATCAAAATGCCAAAAATTAAAGACAAAGAGAGAATCCTAAAGGCAGCAAGAGATAAGCAACAGGTTACCTAGAAAGGAACCGCCATAAGACTCTCAGCTGACATCTCAACAGAAACACTACAGGCCAGAAGGGAATGGCATGAAGTAATCAAGGTCATGAAAAACAAGGATCTGAATTCAAGGCTACTCTATCCAGCAAAGCTATCATTCAAAATAGAAGGTCAAATAAAAAGCTTTCCAGACAAAAAAGGCTAAGGGAATATATTAACACCAAACCAGCACTGCAAGATATGCTAAAAGGACAGCAGTAATTAGTAGAAGAAACAGAAAGAAAAATATAACTAAACTAACAAAAATGGCAATAAATAAGTACATATCAATAATCACATTAAAGGTAAATGGCCTGAACGCTCCAATAAAAAGACACAGAGTAGCTGATTGGATAAGAAAATGACTCAAATATATGTTGTTTACAAGAGACCCATCTCACAACAAAAGATTCACATAGCTTGAATGCGAAGAGATGGAAAAAGATCTTCCAAGCAACAAAAAGGAAAAAAAAGCTGGGGTAGCAATACTCATATCTGATCAAATATATTTCAAAATGAAGGCCATAACTAGAGACAAAGAAGGCCGCTACATAATATTGAAAGGATCTATCCAACAGGAAGATATAACCTTGATAAACATATATGCACCAAATACAGGAGCACCAAAATATATTAAAAATCTTCTGGAGGACTTAAAGGAGAAATCGACAGCAATACAACCATAGCAGGAGACTTCAACATCCTGCTGACATCACTGGATAGATCCTCTAGACAAAAAATTAGCAAGGAAACAGGGACCCTAAATGAAGCACTAGACCAGATTAAATAGATATCTACAGAGAATTACACCCCAAAACTACAGAATTCACATTCTTCTCAAGTGCACATGGGACATTCTAGACCACATGTTAGGACACAAACTAAGTCTCTACAAGTTCAAGAAGACTGAAATCATATCAAGCATCTTCTCAGATCACAATGGTATAAAACTAGAAATCAATTGCAACAAAAACAAGCAAAGACATTTGAACATACGGAGGCTAAATAGCATGTTATTAAACAGTGAATGGGTTACCGAGGAGATCAAGGAAGAAATTTAAAAATTGCTGGAAACCAATAAAAATGAACGCACAACAACACAAAAACTATGGGATGCAGTGAAAGCTGTTCTGAGAAGGAAGTTCATAGCACTACAGGCCTACCTCAAGAAACAAGAAAAATTTCTAACAGATTATCTAACCTCACAACTTAAAGAATTAGAAAGCAAACAAAAAGAAAACCCCAAATCAAGTAGAAGGAAGGAAATAGTAAAGATCTAAGCAGAAATAAATTACATACAGACCAAAAAAAAACAATTCAAAGGATCAATAAAACAAAGAACTGGGTTTTTTTTTTTAAAGATAAACAAGACTGATGGACCCTTAGCTAGACTCACTAAGAAACAAAGAGAGAGAACCCAAATACACAAAATCAAAAATGAAACAGAAGTTACAACTGACACCACAGAAATACAAAGATCCTTAACAACTACTATGAAACATTATATGGCAACAAATTCAACAATCTAAGAGAAAGGGACAAATTTCTAGAAAAATGTAGTCTCCCAAAACTGGACCCGGAAGAGATAGAAAACTTGAACAGACCAATAACAACTAAGGAAACTGAAGAGGTAATCAAGACTTCCCCAGCAAACAAAAGCCCATGCCCGGATGGCTTCACGGAGATATTTTACCAAACATTCAAAAAAGAACTAATACCCATTTTCCTCAAACTATTTCAAAAACTTCAAGAAGAAGGAAGACTTCCAAACTGTTTTATGAGGCCAGCACCATTCTAATTACAAAATCCGAAAAAGACACTACAAAGAAAGGAAACTACAGGCCAATATTCCTGATGAACATAGACACCAAAGTCCAGAACAAAATACTAGCCAATCGAATCCAGCAATACATCAAAAAATTATTCACCATGACCAAGTGGGATTCATCCCCGTGATGCAAGGCTGGTACAATATTCACAAATCAATACATGTGATACACCACATAAATAAAATGAAGAATAAAAACTACATGATCCTATCAATAGATGCTGAAAAAGCATTCGACAAAATCCAGCGTCCATTTCCGACAAGAACGCTCAGCAATCTGGGAATAGAGGGATCTTATTTCTACATAATAAGGGTCATATATGAAAGACCTACAGCCAACATCATACTCAATGGGCAGAAACTAAAAGCATTTCCCTTGAGAACAGGAACAAGACAGGGATGCCCACTTTCAACACTCTTATTTAACATAGTACTAAAAGTCTTAGCCACAGCAATCAGCAAAAGATAAAATAAAAGAGATCCAAATTGGAAAGGAGGAAGTGAAACTGTCATTATTTGCAGATGACATGATATTATACATAGAAAACCGTAAAGACCCCATCAAAAACCTACTAGACTTAATAAATGAATTTGGCAAAGTAGCAGGATACAAAATTAACGTCAAGAAATCGACGGCATTCTTATACACCAATGATGAACTCACAGAAAGAGAACCTGAAAAAAACAATCCCATTTACCATTGCAGCAAAAAATTAAGATGCCTAGGAAGAACTAAAGGACCTATTTGCAAAAAACTACAGGACATTGAAAAAAGAAATAGAGGAAGATATAAAAGAGTGGAAACACAAACCTTGTTCATAGATTGAAAGAATTAACATCATTAAAATGTCCATATTACCTAAAGCAGTCTATAGAGTCAATGCAATCCCCATCAAAATACCAATGACATATTTCACGGAACAAGAACAAATATTTCAAAAGTTCATATGGAATCAATAAATACTTTGAATAGCCATAGCAATCTTGAAAAAGAAGGACAAAGTAGGTGGGATCACAATACCAGATATCAGGTTATACTACAAAGCTACTGTAATCAAAACAGCCTGTTACTGGCACAAGAACAGGCATATAGACCAGTGGAACAGAACAGAGAACACAGAAATGGACCCAAGGCAATATGCTCAATTAATATTTGACAAAGGAGGCAAGAGCATACAATGGAGTGAAGACCGCCTCTTTAATTAATGGTGGTGGGAAAATTGGACAGCTACAAGCAAAAAAACTGAAACTAAACCATCAACTTACACCATATACAAAAATAAACTTAAAATGGATAGAAGACTTAAATGTGACCCATGAATCCATAAAAATCCTAGAAGAAAATGTAGGCAACAAAATTTCAGACATTATACGCAGCAGAATTTTCACTGATACATTACCTGAGGCAACAGAAACAAAGGAGAAAATGAACACATGTGACTACATCAAACTAAAAAGCTTCTGCACAGTAAAAGAAACAACCATCAAAATGGAATGGCAACCCACTGTATGGGAGAGCATCACGGCCAATGATACATGAGACAAGGGGTTAATTTCCAAAATATATAGAGTACTCATACAACTCAACAAAGGAAGACAAAGAACCCAATTAAAAAATGGACAGAGGAACTAAATAGACCCCTCTCCAAACAGGACATATTAAGAAACAGATGAAGAGACAGATGAAGAAATGCTCAACATCACTAATCGTCAGAGAGATGAAAATTAAAACAACAATGAGGTATCATCTCACACCTGTCAGAATGGCCGCCACCAACAAATCATCAAACAGCAAGTGCTGGCGAGGATGTGGAGAAAAGGGAACTCTAGTACACTGCTGGTGGGAATGCAGAATGGTACAGCCACTATGGAAAACAATATCGTGTTACATCAAAAAATTAAAAATTGAACTGCCATTTGACCCAGTGATCCCACTTCTAGGAATATACCCTAAGAAGCCTGAAACACCAATCAGAAAAAATATATGTACCCCCATGTTCATAGCAGCACTATTTACAATAGCCAAGATCTGGAAACAGCCCAAGTGTCCATCAGTAGATGAATGGATAAAAAAGTGGTGGTACATATACACAATGGAGTACTATGCAGCTGTAAGAAAGAAAGATCTCTTATCCTTTGAGTCGACAAGGAGGGACCTGGAAAGTATTATCCTAAGTGAAACAAGCCAAGCAGAAAAAGACAAATACCACATGATCTCACTTATTTGTGGAATATAATGAAAATAACAATCTGAGTAATAGGGTAGACCCAGAGATATGGAAGTAGAGTACAGACTGACAACCCTCAGAAGAGGAGTGGTGGGGGGAGGGAAGAGATAAACCACAGAACTTATATGCATGTACGCATAAGCAATGCACATGGACAACAAAGCCGGGTATCAATGGGGTAAAAAATGAGAAACATTGGTAACAAACATAAAATTAAAAATTAAAGATTTAATTTTCAAAACTTTTATGTGGTTTCAAATACAAAACCATAAAAAAAAGTACAATCAGAAGTATTATCCAACTCTGTCCCTTCTCCTCTCTCTAGTCCATCCATGCTCCTTAAGTAACTATTTTCATTAGGCTTTAGTTCATCTCCCCATTATTTCTTTTTGAAAATAGAAACATGTATATCCAGAAAATGATAAGTATCACAATTTGGGCATCATAGGTATTCACTGCTTTTTCCTGGCTGGGGGATGTTTATGTGTGTGTGTCTCCACACCCACCCCCTCTCCTTCTCAGAAACCAGCATGTTATATATGCTCTTGGGTACCACCTTCCATTTTTTTAAACAGTAAATTCTAAAATTACCCTGAAGTAATGTAAAGACATCTTTATTAGTATACTTTTTATAAATGAGCTAGATGCTTATTTTATGGCTCTTGCATGCTTTTTTCAGCCAGGCCCACACTGAAGGACTTTTGGGTTTTTCCAGTGTTTTGTTTTTACAAGGAGTGCTGTGAAGAGTAAGTGTGGGAACAAGTTATTTCTTATTTTGGGAAGAGATTCCAGGAAGTGGGGATACTAAATCAAAGAATAAAGACAAATGTTATTTTGACAGAAATTATACCAATGTCCCTCCTCTCATCCTCAAATCATAAAAATCAGGCCGAAAAGAAGGGGACAGTAAGGAAATTTAATAGTATTAGAGACATTTCATTTCTAATTTTTCAAACAATATATCACTTTGGTATAAATTATTTTTGAATTGTTATATTGATATAATAAACAGCATAACATATTGTGGCATAACTTCGATTTTTGTGTGTTGAAAACTGTGGGAGAAACTTTAAAACTAGCAGGTATAATAAAAAGAAAAGTGGGGTGGAAGGTTTAAGGACAGGGGCTCTTTACTGGTAGTTGCAGTTCTGAAATTCAATGATTTTATGAGTGAAGCCCTTGGGATTTCCTAAAATAGGACAGAATTAAATCATTTTAAAGTAAATGGAACAAAACATTTTACACCAAGCTTCTTTCCATTCCTATTTATTCTGAATTCTGTATGTTAGCAAGTTTTGATACTTAAAGAAAACAAAGAAACCTTTGTTTAAATACAAACCCCCTTTTTAGTGACTAATGAATTTTATATATAATATAGAAATGGAATTACAGAGCCTGTGCCAAATACTCTATGTAGGCAGTTTAACAAGGACTTCCTGTTACAACTAGCTCCAATGAAAATGATCTTCCTTTAATCTAAAGAATGGGCGGTTAACTGGCAGAACCGGATTCTCCAGGTGTGAAGTCAAGTAAGCAATTTGTTCTTCTCAGCAAAAGGACAACTTTATCTCTAACTTATTTGGCTTCGTAATTTGGCTTTCAATTAAGTTAACTATATGAAAACATACAGAAATTGCCTGTTAACTGTAATATAGAGACTTAAATAATTTGATCAACAGGTTACAGATGAAAACTCAGTTTCTCTCTCAAAGGCAAGACTCCAACACCGCAGGTGGAAAAGCAACAAAAGGAACAAGACAAAGGTAAAGAAACCACTCTTTTTTTTTTGCATTTTTTCATCTCAGATACCCATAGCCTGAAATCGGTGACATTTAAAACTAGCTCAACAGATAATTAAAATTACTTATTTTGCTAGAATTTGGACCAGGCTACTGGCAGCTGATCTGCTCATATATACTGCTAATAAATTGAACGGGATCTGGGATCAGAGATCTCAGAAGCAGAGCACCAAAATAATAGTCAATTTTTTCTTTTAAGTTCTTTAAAAAATAGCTTCTCATTTTGGAAACTTAGATCCTATAAAAAACAAACTTAAAATTATTTCTTTTATAGACTGATTATAAATTAGTCCTACTGTGCTTGCTTTAAAGAACACTTTTAACAATGAATTCTGAAAAGAAACTTAAACCCAAATTTAACACATATGTATAACCTTTAAAAACTTAAGATAATTTTCTAGAAGGTCTTATTAATTTCTCCATTGTTGTTTCCCAGAATATTTTTAAATTAATTTGAGGAAATTAGAAAATAATCTTATAAAAGGACCACTGTAAAACATCAAAGTACTCACTTTTTAAATGTTTTAGCTAGCGTATTAAAAATATATAATAAAATTTAATATAAATATTATAATTGGTTTGATAGTTTTACATTGTTAAGTCAGAATCATTTAAATGCTACAGGTATAGGTAGATCTAATAAAGCAATATATAGTGGTTTAACTAAAACATAGTTTATTTTCTAATTTTTTTAAGTTATTTTATAATTGTTATCATAGTATGTATGTTATGAACAACATACTTACATCAGGTAAGAGTCTTAATATTTAAACAACTCAGTTAACAATTAACTTATTTAAACTAAATAAAAATAAAAATTTGAAAAAGGACCTAAAAGATTGCATTACAAAAACATCAGATAATTTAAACTTAGAGAAAATACATGTAATTTGCAATATTTTTGTTTGTTTCTTTGTTTTCCTCATTTAAGTAGCCAAAGAGGTGACTATTCCAATAACATTAGCTCCTTTCACCTTGAACTAGGGAAATTCTGTAAGCTGTCCTCATATACAGAAGCAAAAAAAAAATCCCATTTTGTGTTAGATAATAACTGGTTACATTTCTTGAAATATTTTAATCAATATTGTTACTAAAAATGAAAATATCTTAATCTATAAATCTATAATGTATCTATCCAGGGTATATTTCTTAAAGCACTAGGTAATTTTTATTTACATTTCTGTTCCTGGAAATATTCCCTGTTTGCATTAGGGTGGAGAAACTTTTATTTGAGTCATACAAGTTTACTTTCTATTTCCATAACAAATTGTCAAAGTTGATTACTATGTTTATAAATTAATGTTCTTTCTTTTTGCAAATATGTTTAAGCTCAAAAATAAGGTCAGTTATTGACAGCAGAATTCAAAACTATATAGCAATGCATGATTCACATTTGAATAGAACTCTTCCAGCATTAAAACAATAAATTTAAGGTACAGAAAAGACTGTTAAGATGGTAGTCTCATCAATTTCACCTAGCCTAATCAATTAAATAACTATGAGCTTAATATTTTATGTTCATGAACTTTGTCTCTTCCAGCTTTTAAATTCTAATATGCTTGCAGGTCTCTAATATTCTATTTTATAAAGATACATACTTAAGCAATTAAATTGGAAATAGTTACACATGTAGTTATGAGGATGCAACTACTAGAAAATGCAATTTGTATACAGCTTGTAAGTGCATCTGAGTTCCTACATTAAGTCAATTTCTGCAGAAATGAATGAGGATTTGGGGAATATTCTGAATTACTTTAACACTGTAAAGATGATCAATATGACTTTTAGTCAAGATACACAGTACAGAACTTCTTTCTTCTACATACAGAAGTGTTTCATAGGATCTTAAGGGGAACAAAGACAAATTTTAAAACTACATATTACACTTAAAGTAAGAAAGAGAAATTTCCAAACCCCAGAAATGAAGAGGGAACATACTCAGCCAAAGTAGAGAGTAGGAATCAAAGCAACTCCACGAGCTACTAGAAGCTGGAAGTTAGAGTGTGTTTGTTGATTATAGGGAACTAAAACTGAGCTTCCTAGATGAAGTAGTGAACCAGAAAAAAAAAAAAAGCAGTCTATATACAGACAGGAAAATCTCTGTTGGCTTGTCCAGGATTACAACAAGTGAGGGATCCATTCATGCTATCAAAATCATTAGAGAAAAATTGGGTCCATACTTATATGGCCTGGGCTACAATAGGCAAACTCCATGGAGCCCTAGTAGTGACAACCACAAAAATGGGGTAAGAAATGCAGGGCACTGAATTCATTCTTGTATAATATAATTCCCCAGTGAAGATAAACTGTTAAAGTTCACTAAATCCACTTGTCAACCACCAAGAGAAACAGACGGTGGCCACAACAAAGATAATTATTCCTCAGAAACCAAAAATAACCTAATAATGTAAAGGATCTTTGACATAAATGCCCTTTAACTATTCAATGAAGACACAGGATCCATAAACCCTGATGAAAATAGTATGTGCTTTATAGTTAATTTTATATAAACATCACTTACTATATTCTGCATGCCATGATATACAGCCCTGAAAGAAGAGCTATTTTTCCTACAATATCAGTAACACATAGAGATTTAAATTTTTTTTAAAAAAAGAGATTCAGGATATTTACTTGTTTTTTTCTAGTAAAGTTATTAAGATTAGTGAATACAAAACACATAACAATATATTTTAAAGAGTCCCTTAAAGTACCTTTCATTCAAATAGGAAAATATGGTACTCCTTCAGGAAGTTTCATTCATGCACAGGAGCTCAGAGAAAGACAACCTTTACAAAGGTCAGTCAAATATCTTGGTTTCCAAAATCAGTGACAGTAACATTCACCTTCCCAAAAGTATGAGCAAAAGTCTCTGTGCTACAATATCAATTTTAAACTAGACCAAATGGATTTAATAGATATCTACAGAGAATTACACCCCAAAACTACAGAATTCACATTCTTCTCAAGTGCACAGGGGACATTCTCAAAGACAGACCACATGTTAGGACACAAACTAAGTCTCTACAAGTTCAAGAAGACTGAAATCATATCAAGCATCTTCTCCGATCACAATGGCATGAAACTAGAAATCAATTGAAACAAAAACAAGCAAAGACATTTGAACATACGGAGGCTAAATAGCATGTTATTAAACAGTGAATGGGTTACCGAGGAGATCAAGGAAGAAATTTAAAAATTGCTGGAAACCATTAAAAATGAACACACAACAACATAAAAACTATGGGATGCAGCGAAAGCTATTCTGAGAAGGAAGTTCATAGCACTACAGGCCTACCTCAAGAAACAAGAAAAATTTCTAACAGATTATCTAACCTCACAACTTAAAGAATTAGAAAGGAAACAAAAAGAAAACCCCAAATCAAGTAGAAGGAAGGAAATAGTAAAGATCAAAGCAGAAATAAATTACATACAGACCAAAAAAAACAATTCAAAGGATCAATAAAACAAAGAACTGGGTTTTTTTTAAAGATAAACAAGACTGATGGACCCTTAGCTAGTCTCACCAAGAAACAAAGAGAACCCAAATACACAAAATCAAAAATGAAACAGAAGTTACAACTGACACCACAGAAATACAAAGATCCTTAACAACTACTATGAAACATTATATGGCAACAAATTCAACAATCTAAGAGAAAGGGACAAATTTCTAGAAAAATGTAGTCTCCCAAAACTGGACCCGGAAGAGATAGAAAACTTGAACAGACCAATAACAACTAAGGAAACTGAAGAGGTAATCAAGACTTTCCCAGCAAACAAAAGCCCATGCCCGGATGGCTTCACGGAGATATTTTACCAAACATTCAAAAAAGAACTAATACCCATTTTCCTCAAACTATTTCAAAAACTTCAAGAAGAAGGAAGACTTCCAAACTGTTTTATGAGGCCAGCACCATTCTAATTACAAAACCAGAAAAAGACACTACAAAGAAAGGAAACTACAGGCCAATATTCCTGATGAACATAGACACCAAAGTCCAGAACAAAATACTAGCCAATCGAATCCAGCAATACATCAAAAAATTATTCACCATGACCAAGTGGGATTCATCCCCGTGATGCAAGGCTGGTACAATATTCACAAATCAATACATGTGATACACCACATAAATAAAATGAAGAATAAAAACCACATGATCATATCAATAGATGCCGAAGAATCCTTCAACAAAATCCAGCATCCATTTCTGATAAAAATGCTCGGCAATGTGGGAATAGAGGGATCATATCTCGACATAATAAAGGCCATATATGAAAGACCTACAGCCAACATCATACTCAATGGGCAGAAACTAAAAGCATTTCCCTTGAGAACAGAAAAAAGACAGAGATGCCCACTTTCGCCACTCTTATTTAATATAGTACTGGAAGTCTTAGCCACAGCAATCAGACATGAAGTAAAAATAAAAGGGATCCAAATTGGAAAGGAGGAAGTGAAACTGTCATTATTTGCAGATGACATGATATTATACATAGAAAACCGTAAAGACCCCATCAAAAATCTACTAGACATAATAAATGAATTTGGCAAAGTAGCAAGATACAAAATTAACATCAGGAAATCGATGGCATTCTTATACACCAATGATGATAGGAAGGGAAACCAAAAAAAACCATCCCATTTACCATCGCAGCAAAAAAACTTAAGATACCTAGGAATAAACTTAACTGAAGAACTAAAGGACCTATTTGCAGAAAACTACAGGTCATTGAAAAAAGTAATAGAGGAAGATATAAAAAAGTGAAAGCACATACCTTGTTCATGGATTGAAAGAATTAACATCATTAAAATGTCCATATTACCCAAAGCAATCTATAGTTTCAATGCAATCTCCATCAAAATACCAATGATGTATTTCACAGAACTAGAACAAATACTTCAAAAGTTCACATGGAACCAAAAAGGACCCCGACTAGCCACAGTAATCTTGAAAAAGAAG